GTTTGACTAACCAGGGCATCTTTCTTCAAAAATGAACTTTTTACAGATTTCTTTACGAAATACTGAACAACCTAATGGTTTACATGTAATCATAAGCAAATAACTTTAGAGTTCTTGTGATTGCTTTTACCAACCATGCACCATAAGGTACTAGAAGAGAGATAAGAACGCAATTTGATAATGAGTTTTTTGGATTTGGTATTTACACATGATTGTAGGATGAATTAGATGTTTTTGAACCAAAATGGCCACCTCCATGGTTTGAACCAATTTGACTAACCAAGGCATCTTTCTTAAGAAATGAACTTTTTGCAGATTTCGTTACGAAATACTGAACAACCTAATGTTAATAACTTTAGAGTCCTTGTGATTGCTTTTTACCAACCAGGCACCATACGGTACTGGACGATAGATAAGAAAGCAATTTAATAATGATTTCTTTGGGTTTGGTGTTTATACATGATTGGAGGATGAATTAGATATTTTTGAAACAAAATGGCCACCTCTATGGTTTGAACCAGTTTGACTAACCAAGGCATCTTTCTTCAAAAATGAACTTTTTACAGATTTCTTTACGAAATACTGAACAACCTAATGGTTTACATGTAATCATAAGCAAATAACTTTAGAGTTCTTATGATTGCTTTTTACCAACCATGCGCCATACGGTACTGGAAAAGAGATAAGAAAGCAATTTGATAATGATTTCTTTGGGTTTGGTGTTTAATTGTTTATACATGATTGTAGGATGAATACTTATGCATAATCAATTTTGAAGCATTTCAGTTAATGGCAAAAATTTATTACATTAATTATAATGGCAATTGTACTTTGAAAGTGAGTTTGAATTGGGTCCTTTAATTCAAAGATGTAGACTTATGAACCACTATCAGCTGTTAGAAAAATAAAAAAAATCATTTCCAACGGGAACTCTTTCCTTCAATAAATAGGTAATCGTTTTAATTTATCATCGATGTAAAATAGAGTACCTATTACACTAGGTATTATTTAATTAAATGTTATAATATTTTCAAGCCCCGGGTGCCAAATAATATTAACGCTTTACCGAAGAAAGAATACGCGAAGGAATCCCACATGAAGGCTAACAACCTGTTAAGTATTCGCAAAAGATAACGAAATCTATTTTTAGAACAAGTACATTTGACAACACCGCATGATCTCTACTTAATACACCAATGTCATTTTATACACTATATGATCTCTACTTAAGTGTATTTATTTTTTGATCTCATCCTAACTGCTTTTTATATGGATAATTTTAATTGTATGAATTTCTTTCCCCTCTATAGGGGTAATGATAGAAGAACATATTTCATGTCATTGGCAACCCATTATACACGCATATTTTTAACTTTAAAGGGGGATCTCAGGTTATCCTACTATTATCCGGATCTCGACTTATATCAATAATAGATATATATATATATATATATATATATAAGTATAACGCTAAATGTACAATTATTATTTTTTGAAAAGATAAGAATTTATTTAAAAATCGGTATATGTTATACTCTTTATCATTGTAACAGAATTTTAAATGTTAGCTACCATTTTTATAAAAAAAAATACATTTTTTGTTGTTGTTCACCAGGTTGTTCACCCTTATTGTATAAGAAAATAAAGAGATTTATTTTAGGTGTTCGAAGTGCCGGTTTATTAGGTTCTACCATACCTAAGTCCTAAGTGAATTCATTCATGCACATGTCTATCTAATAACTATAAAAATCTATAAATCAGTAAAATTGATTAGAAAAACTCACAGGAAATAAAGGGGTAATTAAAAATGTTAACAAACAATGCTAATCTAGTCCACTAATGACCTAAGAACCAGGTAATTTACAGAAGGTGTCATTATAGAAAAATCCAGTAAATGCACTGAATAAGTAATTTACTCAATAGTAAAAGAGATAGGCATTTGTGCATCTCCGTTCAAATATTGTACCTACAGCTTTTCGCTAAACTTGTTTACATAATATTAGTCCTTGACCATTATACATGGTCTATTGTGTTTAACAATAAATGAAGAGAATATGTAAACCTGGAAAGGATAGAGAAACATCGTTGGTCTCACTCAAGGAGTAGGTACATCGTCTAGAGATGTGTATTGTTGGTGGTCTAACCCATTGCAATAACATTGAAATACAAATTGACTACAGAGGAGCCTTAACGGTTTTGATCTCAGTTAATTTCATAGTGGAGCGCAGTAGGTTATATAACCCGCTCTTCGTGTATATGAAATAATCATGGCATGGATAGCGTACGCTGAGTAATCGTGGACCAAAGAGAGCCGAGTAGAAGGGACGACTCGAATAAGGCTCGTGTATATCAATGGTATGGCGATAGTCAGAAGGAACGGATATTTTTGGTTTCTTTCTAGAAGGATTCCGTAAATATTTCCGTTTCTTGTTTCAAGATTCGAGCACACAAAGTAAAAGTTTAGATAATGGCCTATCCTGGACCACTTTTATTGATTTGTTATCGATCTTGGGAGCGCTATCATGAACCAAGCTTAGTGTCCTGTTATTGGTTGATTATCAATTTTGGAGACATGTTGCGTGTTATTGATTTTAAGACGTGTATAGTGGAAGTGGTATGTTTCCTCCTCGTGTTAATGGGTTAACTTCCAAGAAAATGGATCTCGGTACGTTCACTCCACGCAGGGATAGAGACTATTCTTAATTAATGGGTTATTGACCAATTAGGGGGAGGGTGTCATTGACCACTTTGACTGCAATTGTTGTAGACTTGGAGCTAAAGGTCGGTGTCTTCAAAATACGGCGGAGTAATTGACCACAATTGGGAGACAATACCCTGGAGCTCTCACGGTGCTTGCGGAATTTCTTCGGAAGTTTGTGTGTTAGAGGGAGATAGGTAATAGGGCTCTTGTATACAGTATTTTGTTACCGTAGAAGTTTGTCGGTGTTGCAATGGGAGGTGTGCGTCGGAGTCTTTTAATCTGTGTGAGTGAGGCTGTCGTGTCGTATGAGGCGACTAAACAACAGTAAGCCAGCCGCAAGTGTGAAAGGTGGTTGTGAAATAGGGTTTGTGACTTCTACTTTTCGATTGTGACTAATTTCTGTAGTGTGATATAGCTGTACCAAGGGGAAACCTGGGGACTACTTTGGGATCGTGTTGTGAGGCGGTCTCGGGTACTCGCGATTTTGTGGGATTTTATTTTGTAAAAGACCAGTGGGAATTTGATCCAGGCACCGTAGGCGATGCAGTGCTAGGTAAAGATATATAGGTGGCGCAGAATGGGATTGTGAATGTTAATATTTTATTTTCATAAATTTTAGGTTCAGGTGGATGCTGCCCCTGTTTCAAGTCTAATATATTTTATTAGTTAGCTAGGGCAGTGGCGTCTCTGGCTACAGTTTTTTGTTTGCAGCGTCAGAGTTGGGCTATATGCCAATATTTTCCTCGTTTAACTAGACACGGTCCAAGGACACTGGGCGAGCATTTATTTTTTAATAATTTGGTAATTGAAGTTTGGTTTAGCGAGTGATTTCTTCTCATTTCGGGTCTGGGGTCGCAATTTTTGGTAGTTGCGCGGTTTTAAATTTGGATCATGCACGGTATTAAGGATAGTATCATTATTTGGCAGGATTATTAAATAATATTAAAACCTTAACTTCCAAGAAAATGAATTGGTCCTTATATAAACACATGCACATAATTATGAAATATTTGTAATAAACAATCTACATAAATTGGTGCCATTTAATAAAACAAGCGAAATATCCACTTTACTACATAATAACTATAAAAGATAATTTTCCTCTAGTAACTAACTAATTAACTTATCCAATCAAAAACCAATTTACATTTACAATGTTTATAGAAAACAATGATCACAACACCTTCTTTTGTTAACGTTTATCAAAATGGACGTTTGCCGTTGGACCCATAATGAATTCGGTTTTCTTGTAAACTGCTTACGAATGATTATTTATCAGAAGTCGACTGGAGAACTGCGACTGTCTTAGAATGAAATTGCAACTGGAGACTCCGGGGAAAATTTTCATGATAACGACTCGTTGGGGGTTGTTCTAATGTTCTTACTGAACAAGAACTTGCATCAATTTGTGCAACTTTTTAACTAGTGCAAAATTTATTGAATTAAACGTATTGCGAGTACTTTTACGTTCTTTCGGAATTAGCTAGAATTCACAATTTCCGGCAGTCCAAAAGTTCAATTCAAACCACCCAAGAACAGTGTTTAATAGTTGGTTTGCCGTACATCAAAATGTATTACAAAGAAGACACAATTCTGAAAATTTACAAAAAGGAAGTGTTGAATTTTATTCTTCTACCTTTGGAATATATTTCTCGACATCAGCCACAACTGCACGGATCTATATTGTAATGAAACCGAATTTACCCGCTAAAATTCGATTTAAATATTCCCGAACCCGCGCCTGGCGCGAAGAAAGAATTCATTTCGTTTCCGTGGCACACGTGTTTTTTTTTCTTCTCTGGCCTACATTCAAATGGGCCATAATTGACAATAAACGTGATCTGCTAAAAGTGTGCGGAGTGTTCTAGTTGTGCCCTTTTGTATTTTGTATCAATTGGCGTATCCTATCCTATCTGAAATGCTCTTCTCACAGACCAACTCCTAGCGTGTTCATACAATGGTGACACTTGTCATGACCAGAGCAACTCTGTGTGGGATTCGGACTGGCTATCCAATATCCAAACTTATTCTGTGACTTTATTGTAATGTTTTAATGATTGTCTTATGTGTGTCCAATATCAATTCCAGTGGAGTCTATGATTCGACATTATATTAATTTACTTAACGACCATGATAATATGCATTCATGTTATTACAGACAACTAATTTTGCTAATAAGTTTAAATTAGTTTGTTGGCTGGCTTTTTTCTTGGTCAGTGGTTTTTTTCCCCAGCCTATTGCCATATTTGTACTCGGTGAACTACCATTTTCTAAATTTAATCTTCAATGCGAATTATTTTGATTAAATCTGCGTTTTTAAAGCATGCACTTGATTTATTTGTATTCCTTACTTGATCCTCATTCCGACAGCCAACACATATCTTGTAGCGACTCTTAAAACACAAGGTAGTAAGTGGTGCTAGTATTTTGCTAGTCAGGTTAGGTAGCTGTATCTAGACGATCATGTGCCATGGGGTTCAGTTAGTTTGGGAGGGATAGTTTTGAATTTAAATCTTTAGTTGCCCAGTATGCAGAAAAGTACTCATAGTTCTTATTAAAGCTTGGTCTATTTGATCAAAATTTGTCAGTATTGCAATAGTCACTTTCGCACTGTGAACAGTGTTTGTTTGCTTTGTTATAAAGCCTATGCCAGTCACAATTACGGATAGAACATATTCTTGACGCAAAGTCAACGACCTTATTGTCTTCTGTCTTATCTAAAAATAGATAGATGATATTCGTGTATTAGGTGACATACTTACTTCCAACAATAAATATGCAATATCCAGGTGGTGACCGATAACAACTTTTGGTAATATTTACAAACTGACGGCAGTTTTGAAAGTCCTTGGATCTACCTGTACCGCATTCATGACAATATCTTGTGCCCGAACCTACGATTCGATACGTTTAAGGAAATCAAATTTAAAATAATATATACAAGTATTCGACGTTTCAAAAAGCGTATTTCTATAGCAACAAACACTTTCGCAAAAAAAGAGTTAAGTTCTTCAATACAGTGGATCACCTTTTTTTTGCGTAGTGACCCATTCAAAATATTTACAAGGCAGTTAAATTAAAAAGTTATCAGTACAGTCATCTATGTACTTAATTGTAAATGCTTGTAGCCTGAGGGCGCTAAAGTAGTATATTACAGTTCGTGAGTACTAAACTGGTAGCAAATGAAGGCTTCCAATTTAGAGATCGTCCCTGCAAAAAATCATACACGTGTCTTTACATACCTGAGACAAAACCTATACACATGAGACCAACTGAAGCCAATACAAGTTTAAAATACATGATGATAATACTCGTCAGTGAGGCAGCCTGCACAAGCTTTTATACTTATGCGTTAACAGATTAGATACAACTTAAAATAGCTACTAATTACCTGCTTATCGTATTACTACGAACAACTTAATACTGGTTATTATTCCGTTCGCAAGTAAAAAATATTCAAAACCTGCCTCGAGATATACAAAGCTGCAACTTTACGGACCACGTAAAAACAATGATTTGTTTCTCACCTCATCCACACCTAGTTCACTACCGATCTGAATCCGAAATGAAGCTCACCTATGTTCCAATGGTCAACTGGCAAGACCATTTTATCCATAATACCTCCTAAATATATACAACCCACACAAGAGTGAAACAATACCCCAAGATCTCCCCCAACAAGTTAGTGCTAACTGTAACAAAAAAAAAGTTTTGAGCTAAAGAACCCTCGTTCCACAGCAAAAAGAACAAGAAAATGCCCCACCTTGGGTGCCAAAATCGGTTGCACAAACTGTTATCTTAAACAAAATTTGAGTACACTAGTATCAACACGTATGAAGAACGAGAGTTAAAAATAGAGAGTTTCAGAAAGTTGTTGACTCCTCATATTGGATTCAGAGCAATGAAAAGGTATATTAATTAACATTAATTTCAAGATGGAATTATACCTGTATGCAAATATCTTAGAACAGTAGATGATTCATTTTAAATAAACGGGTTTGCGAGCATTGCCCAAAAATGTAAAGAATTTATATACATTATGATTAATAACATACAGGTTGGAATAGTTATTTGTACAACTAGAGAAGAAAGTGGAGTCTTTCACCTCGAGTTGAAAATTTGACACATGAGCGTAGCGAATTAATTGAGAGTTGAAAAACACTTTCTTCTAAATTTTTACACATAATTTTTTCTTAAACTACAACAAAAATAAAAAATTATCGTGTGCAATAATGAAGTTTGACACTTTGCAATCTACACCTTTTCCACTTTTATTCGAGAAGTTGTAAATTGTATTTGAGAATTGTTACTTGTATTTGAGAAAACGTCAAAGTAGATGAGAATAGTCAGTTGGATTTGAGAAAACACCAAATGTATTTGAGAATAGTCAAAAGAAAGTATCATTTAATTTTATTGTATTTTAGAATGTAATATTATTCCTAATGAATTATAATTAAGAATCAAATTTTTATAATTCCGCTACTGTATGTAGTCCCGCAACAGTAGCAGCAGCAGCATCAGGCTATGTTATACATGTGATTTTGTATTATTGATTCTCAAATGCTTAATTTTACCATTTCTTGAATACAATTTACTACTCTCAAATTCATTTGATGCCTTCTCAAATACAAATCATTATTCTGAACTACATATGTTGTTTTCTCAAATACATTTTACTATTCTCAAATACAATTGATACTTTCTCAAATTAACTTGATTAGTTTCTCGAATAAAAGTGGAAAAGGTGTAGATATGGGGATGTTTCAATTTTAAAATGTCATTATTAAGATTAATGTAGCAATTGTTTTTTACTTCCCTCACTACAGAGGAAAATCGCATTTTCTTTACCCTTTTTGGAGACGAAAGTAGTTGTTTCTAAAGTAGTTTAAGAAAAATTTGTTCACTACCTCTCTTATCTCTAAGAATCCATTTTAATTGGCGAATTAGAATCCATATCATATCTCAAGTGATTTATTGTTGTTATGTATCACATTCTGCTATAATAACAACTTTATTATGTAACAAATACGACGAAAACTAATTAAATCCGCCTAACAGCTTTACTGCAAAGCATCACGTAGGTTATATGACAAGCAACCGATTTAGGTCTTGTGACAATCATGGTGATGAGATTTTTGTAATTATGGCATTTGATAGAATTAACGATTAACCAACTTTTAACATCAATCCTTGTTATTTGCATGTGGATTCATATATTCTACTAAAATAATGACGGTAAAGGTCCAATTTGATGTCCCTAGATACTTATCATTTGTACACCGATGACTCTTCAACCTAAAGTTGCGGCACCCATCTAATTAACTGTTCCACTTTTCCAACGTGATCTTGTCAGGGTAAAAATGATTGATATAGTAATATACAAATTGGCAACATCCAACCTAATTCACAAATTGGTAAATTATGAACCATTTTGAGGTTCCTAAACGGGATGAAGCGCTAGGAGAAGCTGCAAGATCAGACATACGACTAACTACGAGCTTTATTGGCCTAATGGAGTGTCGTTTTTATGGGAGAACCCAAACTGCTCCGTTTTAGTTCAGATATGAGAGGTGTACAGTGTAAGTATAAAAATATTCCTTGCACGTTGCGGATTGCCCTTTTAAATATAATACATTCAAGTTATTCCTTATTACCTAGGTACATATTAACGTAGTAGAGTGTCTTTCCAACAAAATTGACGAGATTGCCTTTAATCAGACTAGACTCTTACAAGTTGTACGCACGATGGCACTGCCATATTTTCTAAACATGTGTTTACATGCAATAGTATACCGTAAAATAAACAATTTATCTCTACAATTTAACTGTGCTGGGCAGTATACGATGTTGTAAAAAGGACAGTGTTACTATCAAAGGATTTAAATATTTTCTAATGTTCACAATGTGCAAATTGCTACACATGTTCTTAAGAATATCAGAAAGGTCGCCATTATTTTTCGGCCCAAAAACTTATCTCGAGGATAAGAGACGATAACCATATTGTTTTACGCCGCAACACTACGATAGATTTGATAAAATCAATATTTCTAGAGATACTTATATATATATATATATATATATATATATACTGTTCAAGCACCGGTTACGAAATCTATTCACCCAAAACGATACCAGGTGATCATGATGTAGGCCAGGCGTCTCAGGGACCCAAAAGCAGGTTAATAAGGAAAAAATTTTAATAAGCTAATTTTTGTTTTAAACCCTTCATTGGATGTAAATATTGGCCCGTATGAATAAAAGTAAGCCAAATACTTATACTTGCAAAATTCAAAGTGAATACTCGTAAGTGCCCCTTTATATTGGTTTGTTTAGCAGCGCGGCACTGCGTCCTGTCCTTCTGCTTAGCAGCGCTGCTAAGTCGCCCAGTGCGAAGGAGCACTTACGACTTTACGAGTATTTACTTTGAATTTTGCAAGTATAAGCATTTGCTTACTTTTATTCATACGGGCCAATATGTGGTAAGTAGAAAAATAATCCTCCAACTACGACCGTTTAAACAAAGGGAAAGGTGACTTTTTTTAAATGCTATTTTGCAATTATCTCCGTAACCACGGGTTTGGGGACAAAAATGGCCCAGTATATTTTGTTCCTTATTAAATTTCCTACAAACTTTATCTTTTTCTGCGTGAGACCATTGGTGTTCTAGATAGTGAATTAAAAAATAAAGTTGTCGCTTACTACAGCGGTACTGGCGTTATATCTGTACGACAAGTGGTTCGCATTCACAAAATATATGGTGTCAATGTGTCACAAAATGGTTTTAGTTCGTGTCAATATCCAGAATAGTTTGGACATCAACAAAAAAGAATGGCGTTATTCTCATTCAGTTATAATTAATTAAAAAACACGAAAAACGTGGGAAAAGTAGTTTGCAATTTGAATTTTGTGTATAGGTTGCGAACGGGTCCGTGAAGTTGGAGTGTCGACTTGAAAGGAATTAAGTTCCAAGTATCTCATAATTTTGTGCTAATTTAAAATGTTGTGCTCCTCAGGTTAATGAGTAATTCAATTTTTCTGATGATGCTTGTAGGGTCAACATTGCTATTTTCAAGATTGTTTATTGCAAGAATTTGGTCTCATTTTGTGCTAATTTGTTCTGCCAATTTAAAATTTTGTGTGAGCCACGTAGATAGAGAGATAGAGTATTTCAAATTTTTTGGGACATTTTATTTTATTCACGGTTTGTGCTAATTTAAAGTCTGGTGCTCATCTCGTCAATGGACAATGGGGGCATCCCGCCTTCATTTTTTATTTCTGATCTACAAAGTACATTAAAAATATAAAGACCCGTGTGTCCTCAATTTTTACTTGCGAGTAAAATAAACCCAAAATAAATTATTGAAAAGCTGTGCTTTTAGTCCGAATTTGAAACGCTTCAGTCTAAATACGTCACAAACCTACAACCAATCACGTAGAAGTGAGCCGGCAACCTTGTGCGAGGGTCTGACGTTTGTCGGATTTGACGTTTTAAGAGGCATGTTTAATTGCATCTAACGCGAAAGTGAACGACAAGTGACAAGTGCCTGTGACAGGTGACGCAAGTTACAAATGACATTCTCCTGCTGTATTGCCAATTCGTTGTCATCTGAATGGTTCTAGGAGCTGATTGGTCGGGCTTATTACGCCACAGAGCCCGACACAATCATATCGTTTTGAATAAACCCTTAAAACCGCACATGTTCATTATTTTTTGCTAATCAGCCTCTATTCTTAAATAAACTTTTATTGTCCACAAAAATGTTTTATGGTTTTAGGTACACGTTTATTAAATTAGAACTACGGAATTCAACTATACTGTAAACCCCCATTCAAATTTTTCGCATGATTCGCTTGAGCTAGGTGGATATAATTGCCATCGCCATTTTTTGGAAATATTTCATCAAATGTCGACATTTTAGATCATTTTAAGCAACTTTTAAAGAATAAAATTTTCCCGTCTGTGTGTACGTACCTATGCACATTGTACGTTGACCATTTTCCTAGGTAACGGCTCGACGAATTTTGTTCAAATTTTGTTATGCATTGCCAAGGTTATTTCTAATAAAACAACTTTGATGCATTGCTGTGTGCAATGGTATGCTGTCACCAGTTCACACCACTCACAAAACACCCGTCCAGCTAGATCAAAAGAAATCAAAATTGAAGCTTAGAATTTTATCATCTCTCCTCGTACGCATCCGGTATCTGCTAGAAGAAAAACTCTAATACTGACTTAATATTTCTCAATTTGGGAGACTTGGTGGCCTCGATCCATTTCCGAAAATTCCAAACACTCAACCA